GTATCGCCTCTAGTTATGAGTGTCATATATCGTTATGTGAATTGCTGTGAGTAATACGGCTAGTGCTGAGATTAAATGAGGGAGACTAGTCTGACTAGTATAGATCTGTTATGTATGATATAATATAATATATTTAAACGGTGTATGTTTTACTCCGATACTAGATTAATGATTGATAGCTTGCAGGTATGTTGAGTAGATAGTATCTTTCTAAAATATATATGAATATATAATTACGTTATTATTTGTCGGCTGTGTGGTGTGATTTGTGGTCGCTTGCTCGCTGGTGATAGTAGTGTGATGTGTGTGTTGATGTGTGTGTCGCTGTTGTGTGTGGTGTCGTGATGTTGTGTGTGTGTAGTGTGTGTGTTTGACGTGCTCCGTATGGTGAGTCGGTCGTAGTTGCGTTCGTGCTGCGTGTGTGAGTGTCATGTGTTTTACTGTATGTATACGTATTATGTGTACGCTAAAGTTTGACAAGGAAAGTATGTAGTAAGTCATTGGCTTATGGATTTCCTTTCGGGTAATGGGCTCAACTGAATACTGACTGGCGCGAAAGTATTATTGTTAAGTTATTATCTGCTCATTTTTATTATTAGACATAAGTTGTGAATTATAATGCAATAAGATAGGAGATAAGCTCGAAAAATTTCTTTATGCAACGCGATTAGGGGAGACACTTGATGACCAGTCATTTGTTGTTACGGCTTATGTAAGTTAAATTATCGGATATATCTCCGATGGTGTCTGTAATTTCTTTGCTTCTTATGCGGCTTAAGCTTCGTAATACAGCTCTAGCCGTTTGAAGTTGCTAGAGATGTTGCACTGCGTGCAGTATAACCTACCCCTTGTCTTTTATCATAGGCTTGCGATGTATAACTGTATTACGTGTAAATTACGGGTGTCAACGTGATGTAGTCTGGCGTTTCTTAATAGCGACAAGTGGATTATCAGCGTTTAGTAGTGTGTTTACATTTTTTGGTAGTGTTATTTTATAAAATAGAATTTGCTAAGAACGTTATAGTAGGTAATAGCTTTGTGACGTGCTTGTTAAACAAGAGGCTTATGCTTGCGATATAACATAATTGTCGAAAAGTTTGATTTAAGGAGCTACGTTCCTAAAATGGCAGTGGGTTTTTGATGTTTTCTTTATTGTTCCGTTCATTTGGCTTGGCCAACCTGAGAGAGCATTTTTCTTCTGACACAGTTCAGGCGATTTCATCCTTGGTGGGTAACATGAGATATTAAGTACTATTCCATCCTGACCGGGCAATTGCGTTGATTGATTTATGCTGAGGTTGTATTATGGTATCTATCTTACCCTTATACCGTAAATCTAGACTCTCCATTATAAGCAAGGAGTGTTGTAGTCAATTTTATAATGGTTGTAGTCATTTCAGAGTAGTTTACGTAATCATTTTTTCGATCGTTCATAGTATTGAAGGACTCTCTATGAGAGTGTTGGAGCTGGAAAATTATCGTCATATACAATAAACGGTTTAAAACTGCATTCATACTAATTTATAGCGAGACACTGCATAGGGTCTCGGATTGTGGTTTTTTTTTTTTATTATTGGTGTTGACTTGCTTTAATACTTTGATAGTATATTTTTCAGATCAGTTGTGGTGCCGAGCTACGTAGATCATAATTAAGGTAACTATCCTTGAAATACATCTCTTTAGAGATGAACGAGTATGGTGTTGTTGGGTGACGGCGAGGTGGAGGGCTACAGTCTGACGCCCACTCACGGATGTTTGTATCTATTTCTTACATTAATGCTTTATTGCTGGTTAGATAAATAGATTTACTCGTTAATCATGATGACTGGCGTCGCAAGCTAAATGTTAAAAAGAACTTCAAGTTGAATAGACGAGTGTGCATATAAGTAACGCGCTCATGCTGGAAGAGTATTATACAATAATTCGAGGTTGCTCAACTGAGGATGAAAAGTTGTTCTGATATAGTAAACATGTAGTCTGGGTGATTAGGAGCCAGTTTAGTGGACGAATTAAGCAAAAGCGATGCACCACCTTGCATATAGTTATTTTCTTAGAAATAAAAGTAGAAAAAGTTTTTAGCCATCTTGGTTCGTGTGCTCTACTCCTTCGTGCTTGTAGTTAGATCACCTAATTTAGCGCTTTGTAGATCTGCTCGAGACCAAGGGTTGCAATTAAGAGTTCACTGCAAGGTCACATTCTAGTCTCTTTGATGACTGTTATGTAATTATATATATTTGGCAGTCTTTAGCATGTGTGTGTGGCTCATGCACAAAATAGAGTGCTATACTCTCGTTCTTAATTGAAGCAAGGAGGATAGTTCTAATGAAGAATGAGAGCAGGGTGTCGCTCCAAGCTGGATTATTGTGTTTAGCGTGAAGTAATACGTTGTAGCAAGTGGAGCATATCTTCCTCACACCTAACGATCTCTATGTTGAAAAAATTTTGGGCCGCAGATAGTGGGTTTAAGCCCGCTCAGTTCGCAACCACTGTCTTCTTAAATAATGCAACAATAAGATCTGGGTTGAACAGATATCACAGTGTGGTCTGTTTTGTAGTCTATGGACATACGAATGCTTAACTGTGTCTACGACAGGGTCTGTTTTGTACACTGGTCATGTCATTAGGAGTTGCGTTTCTACGGACAATAATTATAGATCGGGTTCAGGTTCTTTAAAACAATAGAGAAGAGTTTTCAGTGGGATAATATATGCAGTTCTCGGGAACGGACTGATACATTTTCAGGAATATATTAACTATCTAAGATTTTGTCTGTAATGCATTTGTGATTGTTTGGTGCACTGATGTCAGGAGATAGGATGGGGTGACGCATTGAAGAGTGCATAGAAGACTCAGTCTATCGACGAGACTGGAGGATGTGGTGAAGGGAGGATACGCATTAGATCATACTCCCTAACGTCGTTGGTAACCGAATCGTCTCATTTATCGAACATTGATATTTCGGAGTTAGCGATGCGATAGATAACAGCAGGTGAGGAATATAGTCGTTGTTGTTATAGTGATGAATTTAAAAACGCAATGACGAGTGTAATCCCTTACGCACTGTGCCCGGTTGATGCGTGGGCCGGGCAATTTATCTACGAGCGCCACGATAGACGGACGGCGGTACCCAAATCTGACACCAGAGACAGTAAGCAGTGCGTGTTGGAGCGCGAGTGTTAGCATGCTGGTCTACGCGAACGTAAGGACGATACGAAGGTACGGAAGTGTGAAGAAGCGTTGCAAATGGTGACAGCACAAAATGGGAAGTATCTACTGCGTATGATAAAATTGGTGAGAGAGAGAGTAGGTTCAGTGATGAGGAAGATACGATGAACTTAAGTAGGTAGGCAGCAAAAGGATTAGTTTTCTTCACAGTTAACAAATTATTCCACTGTACACTTGAAACTGCATTCCAATTAGATTTGTTTACAACAAAAATGTGTCAATTGTTGGTGTGTTTTTGGCTTTCCAGCCCCTCTCCCTTCCCCTCCATCTCCCATTTTTTTTTCTTGCATTTTAAGAAAGAAAGAAAAAAAAAAAGAAACTAGAATGGGTCTCCTTACTCCCACAAATGAAAAAAAATCCTTTATACTATTGTACTTTCATATTATTGTAACTGTTTCATCAATAAAAAATCAAGTTAAGTCTTCAATTTTTTCGCAAGCAAAACAAGAATGATATACGATGCACATTTTAAGCAGTGCTTAAACCCTTTATATCATACAGATCCTGTTTTTTGGAGTTATAATTATATACAATAAATATTTCATTATAATTGACAAAAATGTTGCCAATATGAATTGGAGTCATAATAGTTTTCACATTTTAGGTACATACACAGGAAAAGGATGTCAAATGGACATTGCATCACATAGTTCTTTTTTGTTTGTTTGTTTTTTGCAACAGTTTACATTCAAGCATACTCCATCACTATGGTAATTCTGTACTTTACACAGATAAACACTGTTAATAAACCTAAGGATTTTAAAAATATTTTCTTGTGAAATTGCATTGGTAGAATCAGAATAAGTTTACACAATAGGAACAGGTGTTGGTTTTGTAAATTTGCTTTTTTTTTGTCAAACTCAATCATATTTAATTCAACAAACATCCACAAGCCCATAACAAAACATATAGAAACAAATTCATGTACCATGTAATCAACAATGGATACCCTTCACATCCTCAGCATAGAGTAAGTTTTCAAGCTTAGCATACTGATGTATTGTTAGGTTTCTAAGAATTTATTAGCAAGTCTTTTGTTCAAGAATCCATTGTGGTCTCTTATGTATCTTTTTTCACAGTGTGTGATATATCTATTCACTCCATTTTCATTGTTTTATCAATATAATTCCAGCTTCATATTACTCTCTCCATAACTGAAACTATAAGTAACTATCATCTAATTTGAAATTACCTCATATGATTATATAACTCTTCAAAATATACTTTAACCTTGAATTCCATACCTCATCTCAAGAAATTTTAAAAATACTATGTTTCAGTTTTCCCATTATCAGATCTATAGAACAATAATTAATATTTCAAGACCTTTTTAAGATGAAACTGCTTTTCAGTTTCTTGTTGATGTAATATCTCTTCTAGGCATTTTAATTCAACATTTCAATTTGCTTGGATGTTTAAATTCTCTGTCGGCCTTTATCAACACAAAGCCTGTTGTTTCTAATTGTATTATATATCTTACACCAAGTCCCAATGGTTCTCATATGCATAATGTCTTGGGAAAGTTTAGATTAAAAAATTAGCCTATGCTTATTCTTTTTTTCACTAATATTTTCTTTATTTCACTGCAATACACACTTTCACAGTTTAAAGCATTTCATAAAGATATGAAATTATGTGCTAAAATCACTGAAAAGTAATACATCACATTTCATTGGGGGGGAAAATAGAACAAAAAATCATAAGTAGTTTTTACCTGATAATTCTTGAAAAAGGAAAAACAAAAATGGTAGGCCAAGGTTGATTTAAAAACTTCCACATGTGCTGAATTTAATACTCAATGACACACAAAAAGAAAGTGACTAAAAAAATTACTATCACAAAAGTTACTACCATAATAAACTGAGGTTCACAAGGCAAATACAAAAACTTCGCTTACACATTCATAGCGACATGTTCTTGGGTACTGATTACATTATCACATTTGTTTTCTGTAAAAACTATTATGTACTGTGTATTACAGTTATGTGATTTCTTTATATACTTACAATATACATCAATTTAAGGTAGGCACTGATAAACATGACATGTACTCAAAAGATATATATAATGGACATGCCGGGAGCATCAATGTATGGCCAGTTCAGAATGACAGGTGCAAAAGCATGGGCATCAATGTAATACCAATGTTCACGCAAAAACCAATGACCCAAAAGTCTGTGCCGAGGAAGTCATCAGAACTCATAATTACTGAACCAAGTTATGCTCAATTCAGGCATACAAATCACCCTGTCTTTCCTCCACACATAAAGAAGGAATAAGAAGAAGACAAAGAAGAAAAAAGCTCATGGTTCAACACCTGTGATGCAGACTGCCAAAAAAAGAGAGAGAAAAAAAAGATACTACAAATAAATAAAAGTATTCATTTAACAATAAAAAAAAAAAAAAAAAAAAAAAAAAAAAAAAAAAAAAAAAACTTTGAGAGCAATTGTTTTTACGGCCAATCCAGCAGGTCTCACGTAACAAAAGAATACCCAAAAGTAACAGCAAATCAAGATGGACTCAATACTGCAGATGGTTTAAGTGATAACAAATAAAATAGGTGTGTCTGACACCATTGCAACACTGCTGACAAAAGGTTTGTGGTTGCTATGCATATCTTTTTTTTTTTTTTTTCTTTTTTTCTTTTGTAACCATGCTCCTTTCATCCATAAGGCATCAAGAGCTCTCAAAAATTCATTCACATCTGCTGTCAATGCTTATCTGAGAAATCATAACCCATAATCATATCTGGTATCACCAAAATATAAATCGGGAACATTACTAATAACCTACCAAAGTTTGGGCAAGTCCTCCTCCTTAATCAAGTTACTGAATGCAGTGACAGCATATTATATGCAGTATTTCACTGTAGCTCATGGTACACTCCCACCACTAATTCTTGCCTGTAAATCAGTTAATGCCCACTCTTCCATTTTTAACTGACCTGCAGTTCTGACAGGAGAAAATAAATCAAAGCTTTATACAAAATTCTCAGAGGAGCATGGTAATCAAATAATATCCCAGAAAAATGAATACATTTTGTAAAGGATTGAAAATAATTTTTCTCAAGTATTAAATCTACAATTACAGAAAAAATTGCATCTTGGCCTTGCTGAATCTGTTTCACAAAAGCTTTTACTGCAATACATTTGGGTCCACTGTGATGCTATCTTTCAAATGACTAGGATTGACATTTATAAGCAATGTTACTGAGAGAGATCCCCCACAAATAATCCTCAGATGGTTACTTTGTCATTGTCCACTAACCAAACTAAATTGCCTTTTGGTCTCATTTAAAATGAGTAAATCATATGTACAAAAAATTAAATTATATCCTACCAACGACCCACACCTTAACAACATACCAATAAAACGTGGGCCATAAAAACAAGAAAACAAACACGACATTCTTCAAATGGAAACAATGACGAGATCATTTATCATCTTAATGCTCTGTGAGATTATGTCTTCATCTGAATACACACAAACGGATGAAAATCCACGGCCTGAAATCTTCCATAAAAAAAGTGCTTGGATCCTAGTTCTCCAGCGTGCCCAACATCACAATCACTACGTAGCTGAAACCAAAACCAGCTGTCTGAAGCCAAGCTGCTTGTGGAAAATTGAAAAATGGGGATATCACAGTTCACTTTCCACAAATACAGTAAACTCCTTCTCTAATGTCTTTTTAAAGTGTCCAGAATAATAAATGGTAGTTGTGATCAAACAATTAACTCTTCAATTTTCACATACATATATCTAGGACAAGCTGAGATTTTATCACTGAACACCCAGCATTGATTTAGTTTAACTATTGGTCTACATATTCACATAATAAATTATAACTGTAGAGTTGAGGCTTGGGCCATGAGATGGAGATACCTTGAGAAACTGTCACCAGGCACAATAAAGAATACATCCCCAGGAATGCTATATAAATCACAAATGAGAATTAGTTGTCACTCCCATGCTTCTTTTTTCAGTACTGTAAATGCTTGCCTTTCGGCATTCGTTCCAAGAGCTTAAAAGCATATTCACACCAGCTTTGACTCTTCTTGTCACTCTCTACCTTAAGGATGAATTGATGTTGGACACAATGCACCAAATACATAAAAAAAAAACAAATACAAAACAAAAAACAAATAAACAAGGTAATAATTCACAAAAAAATAAAAAATAAAATAAAAATCATAGAATATCACAATGTGAAGCCCAAAAATTGGTGGGTTGAGCATCATCTGCCGGTCCAAAAACTTCCTATGAGAGGTGGAAGCTGTGCTGGCCCTCTCTGGCCGCTATCTCCAATTTGGCACTCATAATATCAATACTGGAGTAGTCTGGTAGTTTCAGGTAGTTAACGCAGGTCATCACCGAAGGTAAGAAATCGTCAGGGTTTTCTCCTGCTTCAAAAGTTTTCCTTACAATGGTAAGTGCTGGAGATAGACTTCTGAAACCTGTAAAAAAAGAAAAGAAAAATAACATCAATTTCTTGTAAAAACTTATTTAGAGAGCTATTATAACCATAGCAAACCTGTATCAACAACACTTACATACACATCATAAGTGATTAAAAGAATTTCAAATATTATCTGAGAATTCCTACTTGTTTCCTCTGGACTCGTCCTCCTTCCCCCAACTAGGAGCAACTAAGCATTGTATCTAAATTCTACAATGATACATAACTTAAATCTAGGTACATTTACAACTGCCTCTTGTTATAACATCATCAAAATTGGCATCTTATTTACATTACACATTTCTTAATATTTGAAAAAAAAAAAAAAAAAAAAAAAAAAAAAAAAAAAAAAAAAAAAAAAAAAAAACTAACCTCCAACAGGCAGCCTTGGTGAACCTGTAACAAACTGTAAGAAGGATCTCTGCTGAGCTGGTGTGTAGTCTGCAATAATCTGCAGCAAGAACTTAACCGCCCTAGAGTTGTGCGTATATCCATGATCTGGACGGCAACATTCAGCAAGTTGCTTCATGTCCCACTTCGAGGCATCCGAGGAGCCACAGAACAGTTGCTCAAGCTCTTCAGGATAGAAGACTCGGAGCTGAGTCAGGGGAAAGACACACTCAAACCCTTCACGTAGAGCCTCCATCTGCCTTCTGACTCCTTCTCGGACCAACCACTCAATAACAAGCTGGAACCAAATTTTAACTTTAACAGAGATGCATGTGAATACAAATACATTGGCATGCATAGAATACCTCCCATTTCTTTTAGATAGCTTTAAATACTGTATCAAATTCATGGAGAGAAGAAAAAGGACTGTAAATCAATGGAATGAAAAAGAATTGAGAAATGTGTTATTTCATACGTTTCAGGCCCTTTCAGATCTGAATACAATAAATCATAATAACAATAATAATAATAATATAGATTTCATTTATTTATTCAAATAATGAATAAGAGCAATAGAGTTCTGTATACTTTTTAATTCTAATAAATATAAAATCATTTCCTTCAACTTTCATGAAATCATCTACCTTCATTGAACAATATATCTTCAATATACTTAAAGAGTCCATAAAAAAGAAAATATTTATCAAATTTCATATTTCTCTTTACATGCAATATAAAGCATAACTAAAACTAAATTTCTGAAGTTTTTTGTATTACATACCATAAAATGGAAATAAATATAATTTTTGTTCCATAAAATTGAAAAAAAATCTTACCTGTAGGTACTGATCAAGGTTATGTACAGTGACAGCAATGTCTGAGCCACCCTTTCGGAACTCAATGTTAGGATAGCCAGGTAATGTGAAGGTCAGCGCAAGGTCTTCCACACTACATCCATCTACAGTCAGGGTTTCGAGACGAGCCTGGAAGGAACAAACAAAATATTTCAGCAAGTGAAACTTTTCATGCATTTTGGAATTATTTTCTCATTCATTCAGTTTCTACATACCCAAGGAAAGAAATGTGGGGATGAGATGAAGAAGGGGAAGAAGAGTTAAGAAGATATACAGGCAAAAGAAAAAGACAAAATAAATAAAAGTGAAAAAGAAAGAAAAGTCATCATCATACTGGTCTAAGCATAGTACTCACTTGTAACTCAGCCCCTGAGATTCCTTCCTGTTCAGCCTGAGCTTCTATACGTTTCTTTTGTAAAACTGTAGCATGAAGGCGTGTGAGGGTCTGGCCCAACGTTGGATCTAAGGAAACAACATCACCAAGACCCAGAGACCATTCTTCAGCAAGGAGCCACTTGTACACACATTCATGAAGACCAAGATCCAGCTGAAAATTAAAATGAATAAGCAAAATCTTGTACTGCCCACAGTCCCTCATCAAAATCTATCTTGTAATAGTATTTAGCTGTTAAATGAAGCCTGTGATTGACCAAGATGCCTAGGTCTTAACACTGCAAATATTTGGTAATACTAATGTAGTAAGGGGCCAAAATCTCATAAAAACCCTTACCAATGTCGTGTAACAATATAATGTTCTACAGTAAAATTTACCTATGGAATTAAATATACAATGTTGACCAAATAAGTACTGCAATTTCACCTTTAAAATGTGAAATAAACAATGGAGAAAAACTGCATAAAAAATAGAAGCTACACATTTATAAGATATGGATATATGAAGACACTTTTAACCTGTAAACTGCGAAATAGCGTTCTGTTGGTCATACCTGTGGTGCACAATTATCAGCATTAGAAAAAAAAAAAAAAAAGGTTCTCAAAAATAATTTTTATTGCATGGAAAGTATAGAAAAAGCAAATACTAGTTTGTAATTTTTTTGTTGGTGTAGTGAAGTTGTTAGAGATGCCAAACATCATTTCAAGATAAATGGGAGCAAAATATAGGCTGCCATGTTTAAAAATAGCCTTCACATCATATAATGCAAGTCATAGGTACAAGCTGTTCATCCTACGATGTCATAGGTTATGGGTTAAAGTCTGAATATTTTCAATATTTTCAGAGAAAATGTCTGATCTGTGTATCTCAAAACCAGTCAGGCTAATTTTTTACTGTCAACAGAAGTTTCTTCCAGCTTCATTCTACCTAAACCCCTTCATTATCCCATCTTCTTGTGCCCCTCCCTGAGTTAAACATACAAGTGGACCCTGGTTTTGTTCCCACCACTTTTTCTTCTTGTGAAAGAAAAAAATAACTATAAAACAAGAATTCTCCTAACATATAATAGTTACATACACCCTCCTGCAAACATGCCATTCCCCCACTGCCTTAGCACTTTCTTGTCTTCCTGAACCAACCATACAAGTGCCTCCTATCATAGACCTGGCCTCTTTTCTCCTTGTGAATGTACAGCATCAGTATGAAATACGAATTGTCCTAATATATGGCATGTACACTTCGAAATCCTTCCAAGTCTCTATTTCCTTGGCATCCTCTAAGTCTCTAATTACTTCATATTTTCATAATGTGCATTAGTCTTTCTCCATACAGATGGACAAGGTACTTTACTGGTTGCTTGCTCACTCTCTCATATATAGTGGAATAGGTCTATCTCTCATGTCTGTCACATGTTCCAGGATTATGGGATCATGGCAATGGGAGTGGACACCAGTTGTTTTACATTGGTGATCCTGCTATCACTTTCATTCATGCTTCTCTCTCCCTTATATCCTATCTTACATATCTCTATGGGATCTGTTTTACACAGGCATATATCATTTTTATTTCATTTAAATATTATTAAAATTAAAAATCAAAAAGGGTTTTTTCTTTTATTCTGAAGAAGAAAGAAAGAAAGAAAGAAAGAAAGAAACTGTTTATCATTATCACACACTTATTATACATAATATTTAATTATACAGTGCCTACTTTGTCCTAGGCTCCTATCAATAGCATAGCTAATCACTTTAAATATTTTTTTATTTAAGTTAGAAAAAGTAATTTTTCAGTGCCTGTTACTGATGTCCTCATGCATGGAACAGAAGCCAAAGATGAAAAAAGTAACAGTGCCATTCAATACAACTTAAACAGACCAATTGCATGAGACTAAGCACATTTTCTGTGAAATAATGTATGGACAAAACACAAAACAGTAATAAGTAATAACCTATATTTGTTAACATTTCCCCACCTAAGCAAAATACAATCTTACAATACCTATTCTACACGTTAGTCTGACTCATGTTATAACTAAATATGTGCAATACATCTTTTTCTGAATGGAAAAAAAAAAAAAAAAAAAAAAAAAAAAAAAACACTGAGAAGAATGTCAGCCACAGCAGATAACTCTAAAAGAATTAAATAAAATAGAAAAGCCAAACAACTTTTAACATATTGTATATTCTCTTTGTTTTCGTTATATCCCCCCTTTATTTGATGCCAATGCTTTGTAAATACAGTATGGGCCCTCTTGGTTTCCTCAATAATACACAGAAGCTCAGAACTACAAATTTATCTTTTTCAAATAACTAACCCTTTTTTCAACACAAGCAATCAAACTTCATACTGTTATTATTATCATTATAAATGACATTATATTATAGTCCATCAAAATACTAGTAGTCATAAAAGATAAAAAAGATAAGTAAGATTAGTAACTGACTTCTTGGTGACTACTTGTACAGAAACCTCTAAGCGCAATCAATAAACTAAAATCACTGTGAATGCAGTATGTATGTCATCCAGTCCCAGCACCAAGGTCTAAAACTTAAAATCACTAATTATAATATCCTGTAATGTCTGAGGTCACATAAACCTTAAACTCCACTTCATGCCCACATCATCATATCTCATAATTACTGAGGTTGATACGAGGATATTCTAGCTACATAATCGGCAAGGGGAAGATCTGGACATATACGTGCAAAAAACTATTTGCTTGTTTGTGTGCGTGTGAATTAACCTGTTACTTCTGGTTGCATAACAGTAATAACATGGCTAAAAACACGGGCAGTGGCTGCTATCCTTGGCATGCAGCACGCAGGCCGGGCATGTGCAAACACTTGTGAGTAGTGACTAGAGTGTGCTTGCCCTATGCAAAGTTATTTTCTTTAAACTTTTTTATAGTTTTTTATTTCTGCCATTTTTCAACATCCAAATTTGTCTTTTGATTTGCTTTATACAGAAAGTAATATATTATTTTCCTTGCCCAGACTCCGTATCATATCTCTATATAGTAAATAACTATATAGAGATAACTCACAACTTACGTACATTACATTCCACACTTGTTTATTGATAATGCAAAAGCCCCCTTCTAAACGACAAATGAGTCTAATCACACACAAAGAGGTTTGTGCACTCTTGGTGAGTCTTTTCTATTACCCTGGCCTTCACTCATGACAGCAAGTTAGCAGCCCACAGCAATTTTGTCTGATGATGGCATGGTCACATCACCCGGCCCTCGACCCAGATTTTTCCATGACAGGACAGAAACGTTACCCAGTTAATTGGGTTAAGTGTACAATATTTGTAAAATCAATACAAATATAAAATATATATATATATATATATTTGTAATAATCATTTTGAAGTGATAAACTTGTATTACACTTTTTATTTTCTATTTTGTGTGTGTGTATGTGTGTGTGGGGGGGGTGTTACCTAATATTTCATCTTACAGTTATTTTGCACATGCATGTGTACGTACATATATACGCACATTAACTCACTCACTCTCTCACATTCACACTCACACACATAAAATCACCATTCTACTTCTTAATACAAGTAGTGGAATATGTGTTTGAAAGTGTAACCTACTATATATAAGAGAACTAAAAGCAAAATGTACCTAAATACTGAACAGCATAAGATATATATAAATAAAATTCTTTGCTGAATTATGATGAACAAAGACAACATATTGCCATTCATGCTTTTTCCCAATAAGCTAAATGTTTCACCTTAAACTTTTGAAGATCGTGCTTAGAAATGAACTTCAAACCTTGAAAACAAACTTTAGCACTGCAATATTTTTATGCATCAAATTCATGTTCAGCCTGTCTGATACCCCATATAACAATGTAAGAATACCCAATTTGTATCACTGAAAACTTACAGGATGTCTAAATGCTACAATGGAAAAAAAAAGCCAAAGCCTGAAGAGAGAATTGTGGGCTTTGAATTCTATGGAAAACTAAGCAAATATTTTTCCCACCCCTCAAAATGCTACTTTCTATCACTATTTCCTTACAGTATTGTTTAACTGCTCTCATACCTCCAACTTGGTCTCCAACAACTGTAAGTCACCAGTACTTTCATGGGAAAAAAGTTCATTTAAGCCCCATTTCCTAAGAACTCATATATGCCATAGCCAAAAGCATAGAGAGTGTCTAGGATTCTATTAAATACTAAATGATGGTCAAACAGTATTTAAAGCACAAAATAAATTATTTATATTTCTTCTGTTTTATAATGACAATGCCCTGATAATATGCACTCTGAGGACATGGGTCATACAACACAAATTTTAATAAACATCAAATTATTTCAAAAGCATAAAAATATTTTTCTGAAGATATGGTGAATGCCACCTACAAAATTCATGAGTGAAAATATCACATAATGCACTTTATTTGTATATAACTTAATATAAATTATGTGTTAGTTTTGTACGTCAAACAAAATTTGTTTCCATCACATTAGTTACCTTTCCATGACATTACTGTGATGATGTAGTAGTCTACATACTGTGGTTGGGCAACACTGCCTACAAATTATACAAATCTACCAAGATCTCACTCTACATATTCTTATTTGCCCTGCCTTCTTTATCATATTTTCTAAGAGAGTAGTAGGCTATATCTGATGAAAACCTTGATTCCATGAGACTAAATCGGAATGCAGCGCACACTGCTAGGGGGGTGGGGGGTATACGATGATATGACTTTCTGCTTCCTTTTTCTTATCCGTTTTGCCATGGGCAGAAAATACAATACTAAATTGGACTTATAATATCTTTGAACTAATTATGTCCATCCTAAAATATTTACCACATACATCAATGGAGGGAACTATTCTCAATTGTCTCTCTCTTGCATAGGACATTAATCATTAACCCATCTGTGACGGGTATGGCTAAAGCTGTCATGACATAATCATGTATTATGTGTGTATGCATCATAACTCAATCGCTCAGTGAGCGGGTAGGCCGGCTGTACACAGCACAAACCCTGTCAGAAAGATTAAACTGTTGTAAAATAATTACAGAAAATTTTGGGCCCATCATGATAGAGTTAAAGGACACATCACTTTCTAATCTGAGGCTCATTAGCATCCAGCACTGGTCAAATATATTTAACACTCTCTATGCTTTTGGCTATGGCATATATGAGTTCTTAGGAAATGGGGCTTAAGAGGACCATCTATTTTTTTTTCTTCGAATTTTCTACTTTTCTTGGTGATTTTGAAGAAATTCAGACCCTTATTTTTAGACCCCTGCCTGATCCCTGTGTTTTTGTTTTTTTAATTGGCCAGCCAGTTTTTTAACTACTGTCAAAAGAACAAAAAATTGCGAAGTTCTCATTTTGAAAATTGACAAAGTGCAAAAAATATGTAAAATCCAGAAAAAAATTACACAGGCATTCTGATGTGATTTCTGAACAGATCCATCCTAGATCTAGTGCTTGTATGAAATATTTTTTTCGATTACAACTTTTTTTTTCTCTAAGTGATTGACTTGGGATTTTTTTTTTTCTTTTATTATTTTTATATATATATATTTTTTTTTTACACATTTGTTGTTTTTATAAGAAGCACAGGAAAAAACAGCAAAAACCAATTTCATACAAGCACTAGATTTATCATTCAACTACAAAATAGGCCATAATACTTTTTTGGACTAAAATTGCGTCTGCTACAAGCTTTGCGTGTACAAAGGTGGTGTTTCGAGATATTGGCATTTTTTGTTTTCATCTTTCCATGAAAACCTTGGTACCAACAAAGTAAGGTGTAAGAAAAGTCTCTCTATATCACAATCCTCTATCATTTACCTGCATTCCGAAGTCTTGTGGACATTGTCAGCATGTAACACTTTCTCAAAATATTACGTATTGTGATGTAGGGTTGCAGTGATCTGGGGTATTTATTGGCCTACAATGACCATTTTTTAAAATCTCTCTAAAATTGAAAATAAATCATGTGGCCAATCTGATTTCAAGTCTGAATAGAACAACCTTTCCACTATGATATGCAGAAGCCAATTTTTAGAAGTCAACCTTTTTATTTATATATCTATTTATTTATTGGGGGGGGGGGGGCATGTAATAGATCTACTATTCAGCTACAAAATGAGCTATAATACATTAAATTCAGACAGAAAATGTGTGTGCTATGTGTAGAAATGTGAAGGACCCAAACATCGTGGTCTTATTCCATTTACTTTTTTTTTTACATTCTAAATATGAAATCATGTACGAAATAATTGTGTATATGATATGATTATCTATTATTTACCTATTGTTGTTACTCTTATGGGGTTTTACATCATATAATACTGGCTGAAAAAATGATCGTTCTCCAGTCGGACGGGTATCATACGCGTCCTGTTCTAAGCCTGACCGGGGGATAATGGGCCGTGCCTCACTAGTGATTTCACCCACGGATCCGTTGTATGTAAGGATATATAAATCATTTTCGTGTATCCCATGACCTTTTGTTTATCTATAATGTCACTTATGTTTCAGTGTTTGTTTGTTTTTTGTTTGTCTGTTTGTGATTTCTGATACTTCTAAAAGTTACAAACACATTTTTATGAGATTTTTACCGAAGGTGTGTTTTAACCCCTTGGATCCAGATGACGTGAACAAAGTGTCAAGAGTGAAGACCAGGGTGACGGAAAAGATTTGCCATGAGTACACAAACTTCTTGGAGTGTGATTGACTTATTTGGTGCTTAGAAGGGGCTTTAGCATTATTCCCATTGATAAATGAATGTGGAATGTAACGTCCATTTCCAGGCTGTGCACCGTATTCCTGGCTGCTGTGAATGGCGGCGCAGGTTGTATTGCGGAAAATTGAAAATCACAAAAAATTGAGATATGATACAAATAACCAAATGTTCCATATATTTTTTTTTCATGCACTGAGCTATTTATTACATAGAGAGATGATATAGAGTCTGTGCAAGCAAAATAAGCAATTACCATCTGGAAAAAGCAAATAAAAAAAAAAAGACAAATATAGACATTGGAAAATGGCGATAAAGCACCCAGCCTACGCATCGCACACCTGGGATGCTGGCCACTTAAAAAAGTTTTCACAAAACTTCTCAAAGGGGAGGTACAGTATTTTGTCTCATTGGTGTTCGCACGCACCAAAAAGACAAATATAGACATTGGAAAATGGCGATAAAGCACCCAGCCTACGCATCGCACACCTGGGATGCTGGCCACTTAAATAACCTTTGCACTTGGATCCAGGGGGTTAACCTAACTTAGATGCCAAATGCACTTTGGTGGTGATGCAGACCATGGTTTGGATCATGTTTTTTTTTTTTTTTTCTAACTCAAAAAGTTACGGACAGATTTTAATAAAATTTTATACCTGAGGTGTGTCCTAGCCTAACTAATATTTCTTAAAATTCTGGAGCTGATCCGGATCATTTGGCACTCCTACCACCCATTGGGGGGGGGGGGGGGGCATTTTCAAAATGTGTTGCTCAGTGATCAAACTATGTATGATGAAAACAAAGAAACTAAAATATTCTATATAAGCGGCATATGTTTATTTATCTGTATGAAAACATTTTTTTGCCGTTTTTTGGACGGTTACCATTTTTAAAAAATTATTCCGAAAAAATTAAGGTTGGTCTCATCTTACGTGAAATTTAATAAGCTTTTAGAAAATAATCTAATTTTCTTATTATCTCTAATCATTATGTCAGAATTGTCAATTTACTAAGGTAATGTGAAAAAAATTAGTACTTCGGTTGACATTGAAAAGGGCAGCTGCCACCTAAAAAACAGAGGCCTTGAAATTTTCAGGGGAGAATCTGGGGGTCTGAAACTCCTTGGAAATGCATTCAACTCAATTTCGGCAAGATGGGTGAAAAACGTTGAAAAAAGACCATATGGTCCACTTAAGAGAGCTTTTAAAGATATCCTTGTGGTGTTGTAATTCAAGCAATGCATACACATTTGGCCACTGTTATCAACTACTACCCAGCATTGCATTTGGCAACCATATTACGTTGAATCTGATGTGGTTTCCCCTTTTCTGCCATCTACTAAATAGATAGGTGTCACAGAAACTGACACTGACATGCATATACTGTCCCACCATATCTATAGCTTCTGATAAACTCATTCCTCAGTGTGCCCTTAAAATTTGGTCTTATGTGTAATTTTAATTTTATGATAAGTGTGAAATGAATGCACATGCATGTACATACACCCACACAAATACTACACCATAAATCATACCATACACAACAATGCAATGCATGAACACACACTAAATCACACCATCAAACATACATGCATGCCTAAAAATATTCATTAAATATTTACATCACCTACATCCAAGTCAAACTGGTATCATATGTAGTCTTATCAATACACAAGACACTTGTACCAAAAAATTCTCAGGCTTCATTCATTACTTTTAAGTAGAACCACTTCAACATTGAACAAAGACATTTTTACTTACCATTCTGGAATCCATAACAGCTTTAGCCATGAACTTTCCAAGAAATCTGAACTTTGCTCTTAACTTAGTCATTTGGGCAGATTTCATGTTTCTCGGTACAGGCATTGGATACAAGCCTTGACTGGCATTCACGTATTTCACTGCCTTTCCTCTATTTTCTTCAGTTCTTTCTTCCACTGTCACTGTTTCACCCCGCCAAAGCTCTAGATCAGCTTTCTGGAGTTCTTTGGATACAAGAGCGTAAAATTCTAAAGTAGGTCCTAGGCCTGTACCAACTTCATTTTCATACTGAATTTCTAGCATGGCCCTTGAAGAAGCCAGTTCACTAATCACAGCCTCTGCCTGCTTGAGAATATCATCACGAGAGACAGTTCTCTTACGTCTTTCAAGTCTTGGGGTTACTCTTTCACTACTATCCACAGAGTTGAGCTCAGGAGAAGAGTCCATAAGTCGTTGTAAAGCTCGGTCCCGATCAAAGGACACTGCATAAAACAGTAATTGTCGAGTCTCAAAGGGAAACAGGAAAGGACTGTAAAAGCAAAGAAGAGAGAATTATTAAAAACAAACTGTGAATGAACCTTTAGCATTACAACAAAAACAAATAAAATCCCAAAATTTAAGTACCTACTTTTAATCCAAACAAAATGGGAACACTGTAATATTTTGATTACCCATGTTATCAAAACTCTACAAATTAGCTTCCATAATGGGGAGGGTAATAGATGAGGAATAGAAAAAGAAAAAGAAAAAAAAAGAAAGAAAAAAAAAAATGCATACCTTCAACAAAAATCAGAAATTTGTTTCTAACCTGTGAGAAATGCAAAACATTCTGACAAATTTAAAAGGAATACTTACCATGCATAAGCAATCTGAGGCAACCACGGTGGTACATTGCCAGTCATTATCACCAGAGGATCCTGCAACTGCCGATTTGCTTTGGCTGTCAGTTTCAGGTTTGTGAACTCAGCAGTTGGTAGTGGGGACGGGTAAGTGGCTGGGGGGTAGAGGGCACCATAATGGCGGTTGAGAGCGTGGAGAACTCGCAACAATGCCAGCACTTCTAAGCTCGGGTCACTTACAGTCACACTGGCTGGTAGGCTAGCAGTCAGGTACTGGTCCAGAACACTATTGTTTCCTCCCACAATACTACCATCTGAAAAGTGCGAGATGTATCAATAAGCATGTTAATAATAAAATCTTATATGTCAATATTTCTCACAGCTGTGAGAAACTAGGAATGAAGTGAAGATTACAGACAAAAAACTTTCATGAAGACACATAAATAATATTAGAAACAAAAAACTATCTATAAACATAAATATATAAACCAAACAATGATGATAAATATATCAAGCTTTATTAACCTCCAACATGGGCATCTGCTTTTTTCTTTGGGCTGGGTTTTGACCCTCCAGCCTTGCCCTTCCTTCCTCCTGAACTTCGACTTTGCTCCTCCTCTTGTACAGGTCTGATGGTTATAAAAACAATTTATGAACTATATGCAGAAAATCTGTAATCAAGGATATGGCATTGTATAATAATAAAAAGATTAGAAAATACAAAAGTAACTTGCCTATAATAAATTGTATGGGTTTGAAGCCAAATGGCTGAATGTGAGATGGGGGTTTCTGTATCAGTGTCTGCTTCTGAGGCACTAGCATCAGATGGTGAGGAGAACTGTCTAATAGCTTGGTAAACGGTCATATTGTACGGCAAGACGTGATCACCAATGACAAACTGGAGTTTATGACTTGAAGAGCTCTGGTTGACAGATACTGCAGCCTGTGTGAATAATTAATCAAGTGTTATTCTTGTTTTATTTTCTGTAAAATAAATTTTCCTAACTTCCATTAGCAATATCTCTGAAAATCTAATCCTGCTCTTGCTTATCAAACTAAGAAATTTTTATACAAACTGTGAATGTAAAGCACAAGTTTTCCTATAATTACTGCATTTCTTGAAATCTTTCTTTGAGAGGTAATCTGTACATGACTTGAACAAACAAACTCAAAAACTCAAGTAATGAATAGGCTTCTCGCCTGAAATGTATGGATTCCAAGTTCAACAACCGGCTGCAGCCAAGGGGTTGTTGCCAGGGGCTTGTCATCTGAGAGCATATACTGAGGAAAGTTCAAAATCCAAAGGGCAAATTTGACTAAAAGCATCCACAATATTAAAAACCATTAAAAATGTTGCAACATATTTATAAAGTTAATCATGTTCCTAAGCTAACTTCCTTCCTATTACAGTGTAAAAATGCTTTCCTATATATGGCAAAGCAACATTACAAATTTTCAATATACTCCATTCATGATTGATAAATCACCTTCATAACCAATACTTCACAATTTATTACACTATATATTAGGACATTCAGTGTAACATCTTTATTCAGTTCCCATGTAAGACAAACTGTATCGATTAATTTGCTGCAATGGCCAGATTAGTGAATGTCATTAACATGGTTACCTAACACTACAAAAATTAGGCATAAGATCCAAAGAATTCTGACTACAAATACTCATACTTTACCATTAGGGGGTTCAAAGCTTTTACATATAGCATGATGAACAATTAAAAATCAAAATTATTAAATCTAAACAAATAAATATAATGTACTGTAACAATCACAACCAATACACACCAGTGTATCATCTATGTCCTCATCAGAATTGTCATCATCGGAGTTGTCATCGTCTTCATCCCTGAGTCGACCATAACCTCTGATAACTAAATAACGTTCAATAGCCTGTACAAGAGCCAGAGGGTCAACCTTTACTGGCCCACCTCGCCACTGCTTCAGTCTCGTGCAGTCTGGATGGCGTTGAAGGTTACACTGTCAAAGTGAGGTAATATTTAGTAGATGTTCACTGTTCATTTTTGCATTATCAACTGATACAGATTCAATAACTGATGTAGAACTGATGAAGAAGTGAGACAGTAAAGAGAAGGTAATGGTGAATCAGAATGAGGATGATAATAGGGATGAGGAATTGGAAGAAGAAATGGATGAGGATGGGGAAGATGAAAAGAAAAAAGAGGGAATAGATCAGGAAGAGACAGAACTGGATGTTAATAATAATGGTGGTCACAATTGACGATAGTGATAATGATGTCAGAAACAAAGAGGAAGAGTACAACATGTGCAAAGGACAAAGATGATGTATATCTACTTCTTTCAATTCAGTACCTTCAGTTGGTGCGTGTTGAAAAATTTGATGGCAGAGGTTGAGCCTCCTCTCCCAACCCCTGAAAGAGCAGTTCCTGGGAGATCATGGACCTTCACAGGAAACTGTTCCAACTGGTTGACACACCCATTGAGCTTTGTCACAAGGGCACTGAACAATGCAATATGACTGGTGTCCACATTGCCCAGGCTTAATGGGTCCAACTGAAAATAAAACATTTAGTAAGGATATAAAGTCAACTTATTAAATATCAATACATTTTAATATCTACTGAGTTTTCATATATCATATTTATTTATATCTTTTGTTATACATTTTTCATGTGTGTATTATCAAAGCAAAGATACATTTGAGAGGTTATTGATAACCAGAGAAATATAACATGTTTGAATAGGAAAGTTTAATGAATTTGCTTATCACCAAACTACCAAATGTGTGTCCTCTATCATCATCACACTTGTTAACTACAACTTCATCCTATAAAAAAAAAAATAAAATAACAAGGTACAAAGTCGATGAGGGGGAACCATTACAAAATATCTTCTACATACACAAGAACTCCATTGTGATACCTACTGGGCAACCAAGGAAGACGTGAAGGAAATTCCTGAGTCGGGTGTCCCGCGGTGTGCTTATACTGACAGACGTAAGGCTCCCATTCTCTGTGCTGTTGCCTGTGCCTCCAATGGCTGCCATTAAACTTCCATCTTGCGTTAGGGACATAGTAGAATTTTCAGATGCTGTGAGGTAGGACAAGAGGCAGCACACCAGCCCAGAATGTATCACCTCAAAGGGACTGATATCACTATCAGTCACAATTCTGCTGATTTCCCTCAGTGCTATAACAGCACAGTTTGGCTGGAAGATGTACAAACATAAGTATAATGCAAATCCAATACTGAATTTCTCACTCCTACACACTAATTTAAAGAAAGAACTAATTTGTGCATAAATGAAATTCAACTGAATTTCTTGACTTTTACAAATACTCCTCCAAGAATTTCGATAAAATACATAAATTTCGAAATCAATATAACAAATCAACAAGGAAAATTCATATAATAATAACAATAATAAACAATAAGTGCCCTCTTTACATACATCTTGTTCCAATTGTTGTATGGCTGCTATAAGTCTATTTAGGACACTAAGTGCAGGGTGTGTGGCTCCCTGAAGCTCTGTGGAGAAGTACTCTTGGTTGAGACGCTGTGCTTGTTCCCTCACCCAGACACGAACCACTTCCTTGTTACTGCTACTGCTACTGTTGCTCACACTATTACCAACTAGTTTGTCCTATGGAGCAGAAATAATCATGTAGGATGTACAAACAAAAATATAAAGACACAAATATTGGAAACAAACACTATTCATAAAATCTAAACCTTATTTTCAGTACCAAGTTACAGGATTTGGATAATTACAATCTTCCAAAATATTTATTCTTTTCTTAAATCTATCTTTATTAACCCCCTTGAGTTTGGGTACTTCTCGAAAATCACATGACTCAAAATACAAGCATTAGGCTTACATGAGCAACTGATCTGACAGATTTGCTGCTTGTAGGCCAGGAGCAAATGCACTCGTGCATGGTGCCAAGACTCTGTGCCTCCCCTTTGCAAGTTTTTTTTCTCTTTTTACACATGTATTTTTAGTTTTTTTGCCATTTACTAATATCCACATATATTATTTAATTTGCTTTATCCAGATGATAATAGACTGCTTTCCTTGCACTGAATCCAAATCATCTCTCTAGGTAGTCCATAACTCAGTGCAAGAAAAATAACAATAAGTAACATTGTTATTGGCATCATTCAAAATTTTTTGGGGGAACATTCAATTTTCTGTAGTACAACCAGCCATGGCATCCTCCCTGGTACCAGGGCTTTTCCAGTCATGGCTCATGGACAATACATGCCTCAATTGCTTATCAAGGAGAATATAGCCCCTTTCTAAATGCCACATGAGTCTAATGATCCACTGATAGCGAGTCTATACTGTCACACCCTGGCCTTCAGCTGAAACGCTCTCAACAGCAAGTTCTTGTCACCCTGGTATGTTCACATCACCTGCCCCTCAAGCTCAATTTTTTTATTACGTGATGGTCACATCATTCAAGTCATAGGAGTTAATAATAAAGAAAGTTTTTACTATAACAATTGCTTACACCCAATGAAGTACAATGCCTCATGCAATTATTGATTTGATAACATCTAAGTAAATAAAACCTTTGGAGTAGCTTTTTAAAATGAGGGCATGTGCATCTAAAGCTGTTCTCAGACTCACTCACTCGCTCACTCTATTATATATATATATAGGTCTGTGAACACCTTTCGACGCCCATGCCCTCATATTCATTTTCTTAACATCATGGGCAATGACTTGTAAATCATAACTTGAATACTAAATAATACTAAATAGACTCCTATAACCCTTACTGACAAGGACTGGAACTTTCATGGAGGGTGTATAAGTTTCTACATAAAATATATTATTGCTTTCCTCCATCTTTCTAAATAGGAACTATAACTGTATATACACATTTTTCTTTATAAAAGCTGCAAATGGGCTACCTTTCCTGAAGGAGATTCATGGGTTGGTGTTGATGTGGCAGAACTGCACCTCCCCCAACGTGATGGATTGAAATTGGCAAGGAAAGAGGATTTACTGCTTCCCCCACCACCTCCACTACTACTACTGCCACTGTTGGTGCCTGCCACTAGTTTGGTCCGACTCCCCATGCCTCTCCAGCTCTCTCGTCCTCCACCTAAGCCAGCATCTAGAATCCAGAGGAAAAGGAATTAGACAATACCATCTAAACTAACTGAAGCCATGGTTCCTTCTATATGCAGTTTTCCCTGGTATTATATCTAAGCTGTTCATCACTACATTCACACCACCACTATACATATTGCAGATAATCACTGTAAAGTATACATATAAAAGTCAACTCACTTTTCATGAAGAATTCACTAAATGATGATGATGCAGGTGATTCCTCTTGCCTGCTCTTTCTCCAGTTTCCAGTTCGAATACGAGTTGCTCGTTTCCGCTTGAGCACATCAGCTAGACGCAGCTGGGATGGGCTCTGCAATTTATCTTCATCCTGACTTGGTGGGGTTGGAAGAGATGGGGTCGAGTCTAAACAATTACCGTTGAATGGTCGTCCAGTCAGAAGTGGACTGGCTGAGCTGGGTGTCCCTCCACGGCCAGGCCCTAGGGAGAGTTCAGGACTGCTCCATTTTGCAGGAGGAGGACCTAAAGTCGCATCTGGGTCACAGAGTCGCTTAATCTGGTGCATTACACCTTCTCTTCTAAAGTAAATTGCAAAAATTTCAGGTAACTTCTGCATAAGGATCTCAGCCATCTGAATAGCTCCAACAATAATCTTTAAGTCGTGCGATGACAACATAGTGGCTAGGTGGGATGATACACTCTGAAAGATAATAACCCATGAAATTAGGTTAAAAACACTTTATTCTAATGTGAAAAATACAGTTATTCATTATGCAACAGTTGTGTTTACATGTTTTCAGAAGAATACCTCCATATGTTAGATAATTCTGATATTAAACTAGAAATTTGATTTATCCATCAAAATTCTTCTATTCTATTTCTGCATAATGAATCATCATCAAATCCTTCAATAGAACCTCCCTAAACCAGAAATAATATTTTTCTTAAACTTCAAATAAAAAATATCAAGAAAAATCTCTTTCAAATTCTAAGGCATACTTTAACTTTCCACTCAAAAAGAAAATCATCTTACCTGACTTTTTAAAACTTGTTGCAAAAGCTCAGGGCTTGAAAACTGCACCATCCTGAGCAATGCCCGCGGGCTTTTTA